ACAATAATCGTTCTAATCATCACATATCATTTTAATATCTAGATCTTTAATGATAATTTATATAGTCATATAAATATTATCAAGTTATTTAATTAATCGTTAATCTATCTTATAATAATATTTGTTAGTTTTATGAAGATTTTTTTATTCATCATAATATCTGCTTTTATTAGGACTTTAATTTAAAATTCATTTAAACTTCCGCCTATCTGTAGGCCGATATTTTGTTGATTATACTATTTATATGAATATCTTATACCCGATTTTATGATTTTTGATTTTATACATTTCGCCTTAATATCGGCCTATTATATTAAAAATTTTCGACCAGTGAATAGCTAATTTAATATAACCTAAATAACAGTCAGCCAAATTAGCCATTTTGCTTTCAAGACACAAAATAGTATCACTAATTGGTTTTAAAATATTAGAAACATCTAGTACATTGTCAAAGAATCCACGATATTTTATATATGTTTTGACAATTTTTCCAGTTTTGTTATTAAATAAATGTACGTTTTGATCTAAAATCTTTAAATAAATTTATCGGTTATTATAATAATAAAATTATAGGCAATTTTTATTTGTATATAGGTATATATACATGGGTACTATAGAAATCAACATTTTGATTATGAAATCGCATATTGGCTTTTATAAAAAAAATTTCTTTGCAAAATTTTGTATAAACTACCGTATAGCACTACATACAGTACCCTGAGTATTTTACAAAAAAGCCAGTCTAGATTGAATAATACCTTACAAATATCGAGGGATAGAAGAATAATACAAATAATCATTATTGATTACTATATATTTTGTTATTAAACATATCAAACCAAATGAAAAGATCGCACCATTAATATGAAAACTGGACAACAAATCACTTGTAAAAAAAGGGAGGATACTATTTCAGGAGGGTACTATATGCATCGCTATATGGTAGGTCTATTCCAAATCTCAAAACAACTTTTACTTGAGTTTAATTTTTATTATACAAAATTTGTAAATTACAGATTAATATCCTGTGTATATACACATAATGTATAAATAGTTTTTTTCAAAATACATGATATATTTAAAATATAATTACTTCTTCCAAAGATAATTTATGACGATATACAGAATATATATATTTATACACACTAGTCCAGTAAGTCTTGATATATTTTTTTAATCCACCGCCATATACATTCTTATTTATAATTAAAGAATGTAACTGATGCAATGAATTAAAAAATTAACGATCGTAGAGCATTGATAAAGAATTTTTTTAGCAAATTTATTGTCATAGATTAAAACAAAATCTGATCAAAACGAAATTTTTCTGTTTTTTAAGAAAATTTAAAATTTTTTGTAAGACATTTTTTGGGGTTTTTTTAGCATTAGGGGTAGGTTTAGGGTTAGGTTTATTAATAAATAAGTATATGTAGGTTTTATAGGCTCTAAGGGTAGGTATGAGAGGTCCCCAGTTTCATTTTGATCAGATTTCATTTTAATCTGCGACATTTATGCTTTAAAATATCTTTGGAAATTAAATTTATACAATGCACAACACAACGTAAATTTAAAATATGTGGGTATATTTCAGAAATTAATCGTCAGCAACTGTACAATTTAGCCACCATCAGTTACTATAGCTTCAAACTTATGTGCACTAAGTTCATCAAATATTTTTTGAATGCATTCTTGTAATGTTTCTCCAGTATGACTCTGATTAAATAAGTCAACTAATTTCCAAAGATATTTTCGTCCTGCAAATATATGAATTACAAAGTTCCATAATGATTTTCTGCTTGGATCTGTCCATTCGTCTAAACCTATTTTAAAATATAAAATAAGATTACGTCTCATTTCTCTGATAGTTATTTTCTTATAACTATTTACCCAATATCATGCTGAATAGCAATTTACTAACAATATATATGCATAAATGAGAATAAAATTTAAGTTGATTCGTAATTTTTAAGGTTAGGGTGAGGATTATTAGTATAATTATTCCATTTTAATCTAAGTGAATTCTGAATCTATTATAGTTCCATTCCCACTTACAATATATACAACTCACAAAATGCTAAATTGCTATCTGTATGATGTTGGATTAATGGTCTGTAAAAATAATTATAAAAAAAATACCAAGAGTTAAATTGTTGGCTTTTTCTAAAATATTTCTAATATTTTGATTGAGTTTAATAATTTCTGCATTTAATAATCAACCTGCAAGTAATTGTCTTGACGGTGGTTGATATCCAAGCTGTAATTCTCGTAATGCATCAATAAAATATAGATTGCTAATAACATAAAAAGGAATATTACATATTATAAATGCTTTGATTAAAGCTGAATTAATATTATTTTCATGCTGTGAAGTTAATTTGGTGCTTTCTAAAAACTCTGATAATGATGCTTGATCACTTGCTAGTTTACATTTTTTTTACTTAGTTCAACACCAGGTGTAATTTCTTGAGATGCAGCCTGGCTATGGCCTTGTCATTTAGCAATAATTTGAGTATAGAAATCTATAATATCTTTATTTTGATTAGGACAATCTAAAGCCAAGTGTTTTTCTAAATCTACAGATTTGGCACATGCTCAGAATGCACTACATTCCTTACACTGTCCTGAACAATGACCTTTTACAGAAGAACCTTTGTGAAGAAATTCCAAACTCCTGTAAGTTGTTGTTCAGCAGACTTTTTTTGAACAGATTCTTGGAGATTTTGCTTTGAGAATTTTCATCTTGTGAGGTAGTATTTTGAAAATTTTCATCAAAATGAGATTTGCTCATTTTTTTTTATAAAAAAAATAAGACTGTAAAAATTATAGTTTATATTTTTTAAATCGGTTGATTAAAAAAAAAGTCTTTACGCGGAGAATCATGATAAAGACGGGCAGATCCAACGTACAGGGCAGACTATGGCACTCTTCGCGGCTGTGAGAACCGGGCTTAAAACGGCGAGCGATTCTGCAGAAGACTATTTGTCCAAATCATCATCAACATCTTTAGACTCCTATGATTTGGATGCATGCTATAACAAATACTTATCATACCATAAACTTCCTCTTCTTAAAGGACCTCAAACTCTACAATCCTTTTACTCTCACCTCAGTATCCATGCACTACATCTTAAAAAATTTGCTGCCATCTCACTATCCAAAGACAGGACAGAAGCACATGTTTATCTACCAAACGAGACCAAATTACTGCCAAATCATATCCTACCACTAACATTAGATACATATAATATACCTCTTAAATCATATACAAACACACCACCAATTCTATCACCTATAACTTCTGATGAAGAATCTGAATCTTTATCTGCAGATTTGCTTTCATTACTGCAAAATCCTACTAATAATATTCCAAGTTCATCTACTTTACCTCCAACATCTACAAACTATACTTCTACCTATAGTCCTTCTAATCAAAATCACAACCAAACTCGAGATTTACATCTCAATATTGCAACACATAATGTTCGAGGTTTCAACACAATTACTAAAAGAGAAGCCTGGCAAAACTACTGTCTTGACTACAATATCAGCATTGCTGGTATTACTGAAACTAAAATGTCAGAAAAATCCAATCTTTCTTTTCATAACAACAATCTTTTTACATACTTCTGGGCTAATTCTGATAGCTCAGCAGAAGGTGCTGCTATTATGATACGTAATTTCCTTCGACCACATATTCACAACTGTCTTACACATCCTGGTGGTGCTGTGGCTATTGACCTATTCTTTAAAAGCAATATTAAACTTCGTATTATCTCTGTCTATCTCTCTTCTACTGATATGTCCAAAAGAAACAATACCCAAAATACTGTAGTTAATTGGATACAACTTGCTCTACAACAAAACCTTCATCCTATTATTCTTGGAGATTTTAATACACAGGACAACAACTTCAGTTCTGCAGCTAAATATAGACTTATTAACTTTTTACATCACTCTAATATGTATGATATCGGTGCACATTTTAACAATACTCATCATACATGGTCTAACAGCACTCATTCTAGCCGAATTGATTATATTTGGACCGACCAATTCAATATCCAATTTCTTTTGTCATATGAACTGGACACTAGTAAAACTAGTACTCGCAGTGACCACCTTATACTTAACACATCTTGGACATTTCCTAATGCTTTTAGCAAACCACCTCGACTGCGTACTGGAATTAGTCGTCGTATATTTAACTACAAAGCCATGACTTCTGAAAATTGGACTGAATTTTCAGATCTTCTTACAGCACAACTCAACCAACACCATATATCTTTATCACTACAAACCTCTAATAGCATCGACACTATATGGCATAAAATTGAACATTCTATTATACATACTGCTACAGCAACTATACCAAACAAAATCAGCCGCAAACGGAGCTACAACCACAAATATACTTCTCATAGTACCCAACTTTACTTGTCACTTAAAAAACTTGGCTACCTAATCAAAAATCTCAAAAAGACTAATACAAGCCATGATATTTCTTCTATTAACTTACAAATTTATGAAATTAATTCACGATCTCAATGCAACCTTCAAACTCTTCCTAGCCACGATCCTAACCAAATCTTAATATGGATTCATCATGCTCAAGATATATGGTATCAACTTTATCAAGCTCGCCATACAGAAAATTCTCTTCTTCTTCGTCAACAAATACAACAAGCTTCTGAAAATAGATGTGAAACGCTTGTAAGCAAACCTACACAAGCTATTAATAGTATCCTTAACCGCTATCAAGCGCCTATACACTTCTCTAACATCAAGTTACCAGACCAACTAATTACTGAACCTACTCTTATCAAGCAACATATACAAAATCACTTCTTCAACTGGACAGCTCACAAACCTATTGATCAAACTCTTTTCAACAACTTCTGGCAACAACAATATTTGCCACAAACTCACATCAATTCTAACTGGTATAATTCTCTTTCCTCTCCTATTACGATAGAAGAAGTAACCTCAACCATTTCAAAACTTCCAAATGGCAAAGCCTGTGGACCTACTGGCATTAGCTATGAAATGATTAAACACTCTGGCTCAACATGCTTTCAAGCTCTTACTGTTCTCTTTAACCTTTGTCTTACTCAAGGTCAAATTCCAAAACAATGGAAAAATAGTAGAATCTACCCTATACCAAAACGCAATACCTTTGATGGCAATCTCAATCTCACCCGACCAATCAGCCTTATTGAACATGTTCGAAAAATCTACACAAAGATTATTACTAATAGGCTTAATACAATATTTCAACAACATCCTATCCTATCACCCTTTAATTATGTTGCACTACCTGGGAACTCTACTGCAACTCCTATACATATTCTTAATAATCTTATTGAAGATTCAATTTGCCATCACAAAGACATATGGC